CTGTCTGGGATCCCAGGGGGTTCAGGATCAGGGAAGTTTGGGGTGCAGGCTGTGCTGCCTTCCTGGATGGGCCCTGGGCTGTTTGGGATCCCAGGAGGTTCAGGATCAGGGAAGTTTGGGGTGCAGGCTGTGCTGCCTTCCTGGATGGGCCCTGGGCTGTTTGGGATCCCAGGAGGTTTGGGATCCAGGGAAGTTTGGGGTGCAGGCTGTGCTGCCTTCCCTTGGCACGGAGCTGGCAGCAGCCCTGTTGTCCCTGCCAGCATGTTTGCTGCTGCTGGGTCCCTGCCAGGAGCCAGATCCCATTCCCTGCACCAGCAAGAGGTGCCAGGCTGGTCCCTCTGGGGGCAAACCCAGGGCAGGTCGGTGACAGCACCCCCTGAGCCCCGGGATCCCAAATCTCTCTGTTTTAGTGGAGAAGGGGCAGGAATGTGGGTTTGCTTCCGAAGCAGTGAAAGCCCCGGTGAGGGGGTGAGGGGTTGCTTCCTCCACCCACACCTTGGGCTGCCAGTTGCCCTTTTCTTTTCTGGGTTTGAGCTTTTTAATGTTTGCAGACTTGCAAACCTTGCCTGATCTCTGGTTGCCCTGGTGCAGGCACCTCGTGGCTTTGCTCTGTGTCCTGATAAGCATCTTCAAAAACTGCTTTGAAACCCCCGTTTCCTCTTTACTTCTTAATCAGAGCCCGGATCTGCAACTCATTCTGTGAAAAGCTTGGGGTTCTTTTGATAAAAGTGAACTCACCTTTCAAGGGGGACGAAGCTCAAACCACCCCGCTGCTGCTTCGGTGTGTTTGGGGTTAGAAAACTTAGAGGGGGAAATGCAGACGTTCTCTGGGCGTGTTTGGGGCTCTGAAATCAGCAGTTTGCTGGTGATGAAGGTCCGAGGGGACCTTGGGCAGCTCTTTGGCTGCTCAGTGATGTTGTTCCAAAGCTGGGGGTGCCAGGGGTGGGTTCAGAGTGAAATCGGGTTGCTGAGGCTGCAGAGCAAGGTGGTTTTAACACCAACTGACTCTTGATAACTCAGAGTAACCCCCCTTTTTGTTGTGTGTGTTTGAAGTGGCTCCGTGGGGGTGTGAAGGGGTTTGTTGGGCAGAAGGTCCCCTCAGTGATGGCACCAGTGTTTGGATGTTCAGTAAAAGGGGAGGGGGGGAAGGTGAACCTTCCTTTTCCTGACCAGTTTTGTGCTTTCCTGGCTCTCCAGCAGCAACATTCCAGTGGCCTTCCTGGTTCCCTCCTGCTGGAGATGCTTGATGTCGCCTTGGAAATAGTCAGGGATGGTTTTATACCTGACACAGGGATTTTTCTGAGCTTCTGAATATTCACTGAACTGAGGGAAAGGAGAAGCCAAACTGGGTTCCATCCTTCCCAGGGCTTTCCAAGGGCCTTCCTGGGTGTAGGGATGTTAATTTTGGCTGCAGTCCCAACCAGTTTATGCTATAATGTACTGGCTTTTCCAACTGGATGTGGGTTGTGACCCCAAGCCAGTGCTCACAGCCCATCCCCAGGGATTTCCTGGCCCAGCCAGGGCTTGGTGCTCTCCTTCCTGATTTCCTTTGGAGCTGGGAAGGCAGAGCAGCAGGAATGGACCCTGCTGTGTGGTGCTGAGTCTGCAGGGCACTGCCAGGCACCTTGGGGCCCTCTTGGAGCCGATGGAAATCCTGGAGAAGCGTTCAGAGCTCTGTTTTAATTAAACTGATGATCAGACTCATCAGTGGCCTGGCCTGTCCCCAGGGTGCCACTTCCCCAACACGAGAGGGCTCTTCAGTCTTTAGGATTCAGGCACTGGTGGGTTCCTCTCCTGTTAATTAAACTCACTTCAGAGGGGGAGAAACTGCTGGTGGGAGCAGTTCCCTCCAGGGAATTCTCACTTTCCAAGAGTGGAAATCCCAGTTTTCTTCACATGTAACTGCTCAGTCCATCCATTCTGTTGGGTCCTTCTCTGCCCTCTCATCCTGGGATGTCTCAGTCCTGAATTCTCCTTTCCTGCCCTCTCTGGTCCCAGATGTAGCTCCAGGAATCCCCTTTGCTCGGGGCTTCCAGAGTGTTTCCCATTCCAAAAATCCTGGCTTGCTGCTGCAACCCTGTGCTACCCAAATGTTGACTGTCCTGCTGAAAGAGAGATGGGAGGGATTGATTACTTGTATTCAGGAGGGATCACGTGGCTTTTTATTTATTTATTTATTTATTGCAAGAGGAAGTAGCAGCGTCCTGGTCAAATTCCAGCTTGGAATGACTGCGAGGGAAATGTGGATGGGCAAATGTGACATTGTTTGGCTTCTGCTTTGAGGATTAAATAGCTGGGGGGAAGGGATGATGAGACAAAGGAGTAGTTGCCTTAAATCGAGGGGCTGTGGGAGGGATGTGTGAGGTGGAAGCAAGCAGGGACTGGGGTGTTCTCAGGCTGGTTTGGGGCTGCAGGTCGGAAATGCCTCCCTTGGAATTCTTCATCCACGTCTCCATTAGTGTGGGTCTATGTGAAACATCCCCTGGATGAGGATGGGCTCCCTTTGGGAGGTACAGGAGAGGCAGAGGGATTTTTGGGTAGGGGTGTGGGGGCAGAGCAGCGTTTTGGGGCCCTCAGTGCTCCCCAAAGTCCAGGAGAGAGACACAGCTCTGCGTCCCTGGAGCTGATCTTTGGTGGATGGGGAATATTCATTGCCTCGATTTCCATACCTTAGGAATCTCCTACCCCCCAGAGGGTGTTTGTAACTCCCTGTGGTTTTCCTTGAGACACCCCCAGCAGCCCAGAGCTGACCAGCCCTGTGCTTCCCTCCAGCTGGACAAACCCAGAGGAATTTGCTGCGATTTTACTAATTTGAGGTGGTTTGCTGTTCTTTTAATTGACTTTGTTCTCTCTGTTGTCTCTTCTAGATAAAATGTTCAAGGGTTCGTTGGCACCTTTCCCCAGAAGAACGATCCCAGCCCTGCTCTTGCCATAACCCTGGAATCCCGTGCCCTCCCCTCAGCCCCGTGTGTCGCCCCGTGTCCATGGACCAGGCGCCGGGCTGGAGGACCCCCCCCACCTCAAGCTGCTGCTGCTGCCTTGGTTTCTCTGGGATTGAAGGTGCTCCATGAGCCAGGGCCCCCCAAATGAGTCAAACGGCCAATTCCTGCCAGCAGCTGGTTGAGAACTGCCCGGCGCCCGTGGCGGGGATGGCACAGGAGGACGGTCGCCGCGGGCAAGTGCCACCCACCTTCTACCACGGGGCCAGCCAGGAGCTCGACCTGTCCACCAAGGTGTACAAGAGGGAGTCAGGGAGCCCCTACTCGGTGCTGGTGGACAGCAAAATGAGCAAACCCCACCTCCACGAGAGAGAGGAGCAGCCTTATTTCAGGGAGAACAGAGCGGTAGGAGAGGTCCGGGCTGTGAAAGAAGACAGAGAAAACTCTGACGACTCTGAGGAGGAAGAGGAGGAGGAAGATGAAGTGACTTACAAAAGGGAGCAGATTATAGTAGAGGTAAACCTTAACAACCAAACCTTAAATGTATCAAAAGGGGAGAAGGGTGTCCCCTCCCAGTCCAAAGAGACTGCTGTTCTTAAGACCAGCAGTGAGGAAGAGGAGGGTGACAGTGGGGAAGAGGCCACTGAAGACAGTAATGATTATGAGGAAAATGAGAGGCAGAAGAAAAAAGAGAAAAGAGTGGAAAAAGTTAGTGTTGCACAAAGGAGAACGAGGAGAGCTGCCTCTGCTGCAGCAGCCACCACCTCCCCACCACCCAGAACTACAAGGGGTCGTAGAAAGAGTGTGGAGCCCCCCAAGCGTAAGAAGAAAACTGCAAAGGAGCCCAAGGCACCTGTGCAGAAATCAAAGTGTGAAGAGAAGGAGACTTTAACCTGTGAGAAGTGCCCCAGGGTGTTTAACACACGCTGGTACCTGGAGAAGCACATGAACGTCACTCACAGGCGAATGCAGATCTGCGACAAATGTGGGAAGAAATTTGTGCTAGAAAGTGAGCTGTCCCTTCACCAGCAAACTGACTGTGAAAAAAATATCCAGGTAGGTTTGCTCACCTGCTTGCCAGATTTCCACACCTTCTGTCGTGCCCTGGATACAGTGGTGGACACTTCAGAGGGGGAAATCTTTTGCAGAGCCCAGGTTCTGACCGAGGCCTTGTCTCTGCGCAGCGACACTTCGGTGCCTTCCAGGATTGCTGGGAGAGGAGTGTCCAGCTGCTCTGGCAGTTACTCTGGTAGTAAACTACGAGTTGGGGAGCACACAGAGCCACTCTGACAGTGTCAGACTGGGCTGAGAACAGTTTGCAGTGAAGCTCTTGGACGGGAGGAGTTCTCCTCCCTCGGTGCTGAGCCCCGCAGCTCTCGCTGGTGTTCGGTGTCCAGATGGGCACAGAGTGGTTCCAGGGGAGGTCTCACTGCAGGACTTGGCTGGTACTGGAGTCAGAAATTTGGGCAATCCCAGAGAGGCAAGCAGGTGAGAAAGACACCAGTGGAGTCAGGATTTGAACCTGGGTTAAAGCGGAGTTTAAAAATCCTGCTGGGATGATGATCCAGATTTACAGTAAGTGCTCCCAGATGGGGGTAAAAGTGTCATGAATTCAGTGCCTAGACCATGAACCTGCCCTTTTCCCAGTGCCAAAAGCCCAGTAAATCCCCCTGATGACACAGAAACCTCTGCCCTTTCTCACCAGCAGCTGTGCAGCTCTGCTCTGTCCCCCAGCAGTGGGAGGCTGTGCTGGAACAGAACCCTTTGCAAGCTCGAGGTCGTGGAAGGAGCTCCAGAGTTTGTGATTCACGTGTGGTTTGGGCTTTGCTCGTGGGCAGCTCTGTTCTCATGGAGCTGGTTTATGTGGCAGCTCAGCCCTGCCTTTCCTGCCTCGTTAAACCCCCTCCCTGGGCAGTGACCCCACTGCTGAGCAGCTCGGGGCAGCTGAAGGGTTTGGGGTTTGTGGGGCAGCAGGTTTCCTGTCTGCCCAGCCAGGGTTTCACCAGGGTGATTTAATGGCTTTTTGTTTGTTTGTTTTCTTGTTTAAACGCTGAACTGAGTTGGAATTCAGTCCCCACTGTGTGGGAGACATGAAATAATTCATTGCAGTTTCTCTGTCCTAAGCCTGACGTGCAGCTCTGGGTAACTCTGTGCTGTTTTTCCTTGTGTTTCAGCTCATAGGAGGAAGACTGAAGGAAGGACTATAAAATAAGATAATGAGTCTTGAGCTTAGTTAATAAAATACAGAAACATTTCAGTGTGTCCTTGCAGCTTTTGAAAGAAATACTTCAAAAGTTCAGTGCAGCAGAGAACATTGAAATGTAAATTTAAGGAATGTCCCAGCATCCAGGTGGCTCTTTCACAGCATTAAACCTTTTCACTTTGAACAGGAATTCATGAATAGTTTAAACACATGGTATAGAATAAGGAAGTGTGTGCTTCTGAGGGGATAAATTCCTATGTCCAAAAAGTGGGTAGGAAAAGAAATAAAATTGTCCAAATTATGTTTTATATCCAGAAGCTCCCCCAGATATTTCCAGTGCCAGAAGCACTGCAAGTCATCTTCAAATTCTCAATATCTGAGCGTACATCCAGCAGTTATTCCTCTGTGCTGACCCTTGGAATGTGTTTTACAGCTTCCTGCTAATGTGTTTTTATTCCACCTGGCAAAAATTGTGCTTCAGGGTTGGATATGTCAAGGGGGATATGGAGCTTTGTGTAGGAAAAGGAATGGTTTAATGTATGAGTGGCAATTGAACTGATAAAACACAGTGGGCTCCTCTCTATTTTTCATCCAAGTGATGGGATATGTCTGTTTTTCCAGGTGATTTCTGGTTTTCCTCCTCTCCAGATCAGCAGTTCCTGTTGTCACCTGAAGCTCTGTGTACTCACTCTCAGTATTGGTGTTCTAATCTAATTAAGTTGTAGTCTGACCTCTTCAAGGCCTGGCTTAACTTTATATCACAGTGTTTATGATCATTTCACATCACTTCTTTGCTCTTTAGGGTGGGTTTTTCCCCTCAAGGGCTGCAGTTTGTTCCCCACGTGCCTCCAGGGAGGTGTTTTGGAGGTGTTTCCTCAGGGAATGGACCAGAATTCCCAAGCCTGCAGAGATCCAAACGCTGTGGGAGCAGCAGAACTTGTCTGTGCAGAGAAGAACCGCCCCAGCCTGGCAGAATTCATCAATATTTGCTGATTGAACAGCACCCAGCCCTTCTCACTGGGAGGGAAGGGGGTGATTGAGAGGCAGAAAATGGGGATGCCCCAAAAACCCCAACAGCCACCAGAAATGAGCCACAATTCCTTCCTCCTCACTCCAGAGATGGACATGTCTTGGTTTCCTCACGTGTCTGCCAGCAAGTTTTACAGATATTCTGGAATGTTCAAAATTCTACAAGGATCTCTTGGTCAAGTCTTTAGGAAGAACTAACTTGGGAAAAGAAAGAGGTGTTTGAAAGCCCATGAGTGTCCTGCCTGTCACTGATTTCATGGACATTTCCCAGGAGCTGGGGGAAGGAACTCACACATTTCTTGCCTGTTGTCACTTCTGGGACCTGCAGAGCTGCTGAGACCTTCAACAAACGAAGAACCAGGACACAAGGGATGGAGGGGACACCTTGCTTTGCTCTCTGAGTCCCAGAATCCACGTCCAGAGCTGCAGGATGGGAGCTGCTTTCCCTGGAGAACCAGAAGGATCAGAGAGCTTTGGCTAATTAAACCTGGGATTTGGGTGGGGTCACAGTGCTGCTTCCAAAGGGCTGGATGTGCACATGGATTCAAGGCAACTTGGTGGGATTGGTCTCTTCCACCTCTGTTGGATTCTCCCCACACCAAGGGTTTGGATTCTCCTCTCACACCAAGGGTTTGGATTCTCCCCACACCAAGGGTTTGGATTCTCCTTTCACACCAAGGGTTTGGATTCTCCCCACACCAAGGGTTTGGATTCTCCTTTCACACCAAGGGTTTGGATTCTCCCCACACCAAGGGTTTGGATTCTCCTTTCACACCAAGGGTTTGGATTCTCCCCACACCAAGGGTTTGGATTCTCCTTTCACACCAAGGGTTTGGATTCTCCCCACACCAAGGGTTTGGATTCTCCTCACACCAAGGGTTTGGATTCTCCCCTCACACCAAGGGTTTGGATTCTCCCCACACCAAGGGTTTGGATTCTACCCTCACCAAGGGTTTGGATTCTCCCCACACCAAGGGTTTGGATTCTCCCCACACCAAGGGTTTGGATTCTCCCCTCACACCAAGGGTTTGGATTCTCCCCACACCAAGGGTTTGGATTCTCCCCTCACCAGCAGCATCAGTGCCTGTGAAGTTGTCTCTGGTTTAGCTCCTGTGTTGAGTTTTGGAATTCTAAGTTCTCTTCAGGTGGCACCAAAGTGCTTGTTTTGACATCCTCTCTCCTCCTGCTTGATCTGGCTTTTCTTAGAGTAGTTGTTTCAGGTGTTAACCCAAGGAATGTGCAGTCTGAGGCAGCATTTGGACTTGTTCTGGGCTTCGTTTTGTGGCTTAACTGCACCGGCTGGAATCGCCGAACCCCCCTAATTCCCACTTCCTTCTCTGTCCCACCCCAGTGTGTTTCCTGTAACAAATCCTTCAAGAAGCTCTGGTCCCTCCATGAACACATCAAGATTGTCCATGGATATGCAGAGAAGAAGTTCTCCTGTGAGATCTGTGAGAAGAAGTTCTACACCATGGCCCACGTGCGGAAACACATGGTTGGTGAGTTGGTGGTGGAGCCTCCAGGGGGTCCTGGGGGGTCTCCTTGTGGGTCTTGGCTCGTTCTGGAAAGAAAAATAATAAGGCAAAAGAAAAATAATAAGGCTGGGAGAGCTGGGGGGTGATCACCTGGAGAAGAGAAGCTCCAGGGGGACCTGATAGCCCCTTCCAGTCCCAAAGGGGCTCCAGGAGAGCTGGAGAGGGACTGGGGACAAGGGATGGAGGGACAGGACACAGGGAGTGGCTTCAAACTGCCAGAGGGCAGGGTGAGATGGGATATTGGGAAGGAATCCCTCCCTGTGAGGGTGGGGAGGGGCT